TTCTTCTTCTTCTTCTTCTTCTTCTTCTTCTTCTTCTTCTTCTTCTTCTTCTTCTTCTTCTCTTCCTCCTCCCCCTCCTCCCCCTCCTCCTCCTCTTCCTCCTCCTGCTCCTCCTTCTTCTTGGTTTGTTTTCATTTTTTTGAAACAGGATTTCTCTGTGTAGCCCTACCTGTCCTGGAACTCACTCTGTAGACCAGGCTGGCCTCAATCTCAGAGATGTGCCTCCTATGTGCCGAGATTAAAGACATGCGACACCACTGCCAAGATAACTTTTTCCTATTTTAAAACTCAAATGAAATCTCTTCTAGATCAATGTAGATTCATATATAATCATAAAAATTATATATAGGGGGCTGAGGTGTAGCTCAGAAGTACAGCACTTGTTTAGCATACACAGGATTCTGGGTTTAATCGCCAGCACCTCAGACACAGACAGGATGCTGTACATCCTTTATTAAAATGCAAAAATGGGTTAAAAGTGACCTGGGTGCATAAATTAATCTCAATAGATAATAATGCTGAGAATGAGGCCAGAATAGTGGGTGACTATAGTAAAGCAAAGAGAGACAAATGTCTGGTGGATTATTGACAGTAAAATGAATAAAATGTACATTATAGTAGTAAGGAGTTAATTATGGAGAATGCTGTTTTTTCTTTTCATTTCAAAATGTATCTATTTAGTGTATGTATACATACATGAGTGCTGACCCCCACATATGTGTGCACTGTGTAGAGGTCAGAAGACATCCTACAGGAGCCAGTTTTCTTTTTCCACCTTGTTGAGGGGGGATTGAACTCAGGACCTTAGGCTTGTTAGCAGATGCCTTTCCCCTCCAAGCCATTTCCTAGTCCAGAAAGTTTTCTATTGTTAAAACTTAAAATATATGGAACAGTAAGATCATTTGATTTACACAGAGCATTAATAAAAGTGATTAAGCCTCAAAGGCAGGCACTCTTTTATTTGTTTCTGTTGTTAAGAAGGGAGTCTTGCTATGTAGCTGTGACTGGCCTGGAACTATCTATGTAGGTCAAGCTGACCTCAGATTTATGACAATCCCCCTGCCTCTGCTTCCCATATGCTGAGATTACAAATGTTAGCCATTACACTCATGCTGTAGCTGATGGATTACTAAAATGTTTGAATACCTCTGTGGAATACATTGTTTCAACGATAGTTAGCATCCACTTTTTAAAAAGTCTTTATTTTAATTAATTAATTAATTAATTAATTAATTTTTGGTTTTTCGAGACAGGGTTTCTCTGTATAGCCCTGGCTGTCCTGGAACTCACTCTGTAGACCAAGCTGGCCTCGAACTCAGAAATCCACCTGCCTCTGCCTCCCAAGTGCTGGGATTAAAGGCATGTGCCACCAACACCCGGCTAGAGATTTCTTTTCTTTTTTGTTTTTTGTTTTTTTTGTTTTTCGAGACAGGGTTTCTCTGTGTAGCCCTGACTGTCCTGGAACTCACTCT